AGCCAGCCGCCCGCCGCGCCTCCCCAGCGGGCGCCACGGAACCAGGCGCCCCAGGCTTCTGCCCTCTGCGCGCGGTCTGATTGTTTGTATTTTAAATGCCTGCAACCCAGGGCAGGGGGCTCAGACCTGTCTGGCTGCGCAGGAGGTAGCTAGGCCCGGTGGATCCCGGCTGCCAGCAAAGCCCCACACTCCCCGCCCTCCGAGGGGGTCCCTCAGGGCAGGCGAGGGAGCTGAGAGTCACGGACACTGAGCCATGCAACCCCGCCCACCGGGGCCACCTACCTTTGCAGGTCCCACTTCCGAGCAGGCAGAAAAGGAAGCCCTGGGGTTTAGGGAGCGGTGGGGAGTGAGAGAAGTCTGGGGACTGGTTATGAAAGGTCAATAAGATCCCCCGCGTCTGCCCATCAGACAACACAGTGCCATGCTGTGCCAAGAGCACAGGACTTGGGTTCTTAGATAGGGTTCTAGTCCTGGTTCTGCCACTCCCTTTCTGGGTGACCTTGGGCTACACTCTTCTTTTTCTGAACCTTGACTTCCTATTTGTAAAATGCAGGTGGGGTTGGGATTAGGATCTCAAGGAATCTACTGCCATATGATTCCAGGGACTTGGGTGGCTTTCAAATGAGCAGGAAGAGAGAGGTTGGCTTGAATCCCTGCCTGGTCATGTCCAGAACCCCGAGTTGTAATTTTCTGACCTGACAGCCAAAGATGAAAAACTAGCAGGGAAAAGAAGGGCCCGTTTCTGGCTGCCAAACTCCTGAAAGATGCTGAGCTGTCTCCCAGCCCTGCCTCCCAGGTGGCTGGCTACCTCCGCCCTCCATCGCAAAGGGTGTAGAAACGCCATCCACTGGGGTAGAGGAGTAGGTCCTCAGGGTGCCGGAGGGACAGAAATCACCCTCCTATTCCCAAAGAGCAGCACCCTCCCCTCATGGCCATCTTTTAAAGTCACCTTCTGTAAAGAAGCTCAAGGTCCCAGGACACTGGGCTTGCAGGCCCAAAGGAGTAGCCCCCACCCTTTCAAAGACCAACAAATCCCTTCTGAGTCCCCGCCTCCTGCCTACCACTCACGGACACATTTTTGTCTAGAAAATTGCTTTTTACTGCTGTTTCATGGGATGGCATATCTTACATTAAAATAATATTATTGGGGGGAAATGACAAGTGCTGTACATAAGCTGAGAAATCACTAAGCCAATAGCTGCCATTCAAAAATCTTTTTGAAAATCATTTTCAGACACCTCTTACTTTCTGTGTAGTTTGTAATTGTTAATTTTTTATTTTAAACAGAAGCACATGCCATGTGAAAGCCTGCTGGGCTGGTCATTTTTTTTGCAATCTTTCATGTGGGATTTGTCCACAGGAATGAAAGTTGTGGTTTTAAAAAAGAGTTAAGTTACATATTTATTTTCTCACTTAAGTTATTTATGCAAAAGTTTTTCTTGTAGAGGATGACAATGTTAATATTGCTTTATGAAATACCAGTCTGTTCTTTCAGAGTCCAGAGGCATTGTTAATAAAGACAATGAGTCGTTATGGAGAGGATGTGTGGTCTCAATTTGTCAACCACACACAGTCATTTCTGTCAAAGTTAACATCCTTCTCTCAGGCGCTGTGTCACCTTTGGCTGCGCTATGGTGGCCCTGGTGGCAATTACCTTCCTTTGAAAAGTCATGTTCGGCCCTTCCTTTCCAAACCTAGACCTTATTCCTTCACTCGGCCATTGTAATACCCTCAGCCTCATCTCCCTCAAACAGCCTGCCCTTCACACTGTTCCAAAAACACTGTTCTCATTCTGTCACAGCCTTGCTCAAAATTCCTTAACAGCTCCTCCTTCCCAGGACCAAGTTCAGGCTTCTCAGTCTGGCATATAAGGCTTTGCCTGCTTGAGTCCCATCCCCTACTCCACCAAGCTTCCTTCATGACTCCAAGTGCCACATGCTGTATTGATGATCCCTACCTCCTTAGCTTGCCACCTGCCCCCACCCCCAACTCCTGCTTTTTCTATTGGGTTCATGTTCCTTGTCATCTCTTCCCTGAACCTCCCAGAGATGTTTCAGTCCCCACTGATCCTTCTCTCCTCAGATGTCCAGCCCCTTTTGTCCACGCCTCTGATTCTATGTCTTTCATTTGACCTTCATTCATGGACCAACCTGCTTCATCTGGCCACGCCCTGCTTAGTATTGGATGGACATAAAGCCATGTTCCATTCAGGACCAGCTCACTGGGAGCTCAGCCAAGCTTTTCCCCAAACAGGAATGTTATGCCTCTCTAGTAAATATATCAGCAGGGACGTCTCGCACTTCTCTCATAGTGCTGATGCTAGCTGAGACTCAGGAAGTACTCTTCAGTTGCCATTAGGAGGGTCAATCAATTGCAAAGCTTTAAATCATGTCCAGCCCATCTTGGGGTAACCCCACCCTAAGAGCCCACCTTACCCCCCAAAGTGAGCTGAGGTCTGCCCTGGTGACTTACCATTTTAACTCCCAATGAACCCTCCCAAATCCATTATCATCATCAACAAGTCCATGGTAGGCGTCATTGTGTGTTTCTGCCTCCAGGCCTCAGGAGGCCTCAGTGAGACCCTGCAGGGAATCTAGGCCCCAGGAGGCCTCAGTGAGACCCTGCAGGGGATCTATACTCTGTGAGGGCTGCCCCAGAGCCCGGAACACAAGAGTCCATGGTAGGCATCATTGTGTGTTTCTGCCTCCAGGCCCCAGGAGGCTTCAGTGAGACCCTGCAGAGGATCTACTCTGTGAGGGCTGCCCCAGAGCCCGGAACACAAGAGCAGGTAGGAAATGGATACATTATCCAGCTCCCAGAGGCAATGTGGTCCAATGGCTGAAACACGGGCTCTGGAGCCATGTTTGTGTTTGAATCCGAGGAAACTGAGGCACCAAAGGGTTAAATGTTTTGCTGGATGTGAACTCAATTCCCTGCCCTGACACTCATTCAAGCTGCTCAGAGCCTGGTGGGCACGTGGGCAAATGATCAGGTCACACTGTTGTGTACAAAGTGTTATGGTACCAAAGACGGGAGTACTTGGCTCTGTGGTGGGGACAAGGGATAACGTTTAGGGAAAGGTTCCCAGAGGTGGGTGCTGCTTAGAAGCTCACCAGGTGGAGAAGGGAGCACAGACATTCTAGGTGGAGACACAGCCCAAGCAAAGGCCCTGGGGCTGAAGATGTGTGGCTGGTTGTAGTGGACAAGACTCAATCCACCGTTTCTCAACACGGACCGAGTCCTCCCTGCACACCAGGCAGTGCGGGGGACCAGGAATGCCAAGCAATGCCTCACACCAGATGCACCTAGGATCTGCTTTCTGGGACCTGCAGATCCAGGAGGGATCAGTCCAGGCTACAATCCCATTACCACAAGGGGGAAAAAACCTCAAAGGCTAAATTGTAGGTCAGGCTAGGGGTTATTTATGGAAAGTTATATTCTACCTACATGGGGTCTATGAGCCTGGCGCCTTTCAGAAACGGAGCAGACTTTGACAGGCTCAGCTGGGAGGGGCGGGGTTCTGGAGAGCAGGGACTCTGGTCTGTCGCTGCCCACCAATACCCAGTCTACGGCAGGCACCTCACACGCATTGTGGTTGCATAGCTGTTGTTCAACCCATTTAGGATCTCTTCTCTCTCGAGATTAGGCAGATGGAATGGAATAGGATGTATGGATGAAGGTGGAAGTGGCGGGGGGTGGGGGGCGGTCTGACCTCTATGAAAGAAGGCTGTTTGCCTGGATCAGCTTCTACTGGGTCTCTGAGGATAAGACGCAGCTCCCACCCTCAAGCAATTTATCATCTTGCTGGGAGACAAGTGGAAAAGGAGGGCACCAGGTGCCGCTGTGGACTGTATGATCATTTGCCACAGGCGTGCTGAAGATCGAGGGGGTGAGAGAAGGGGCAGCGAAGAGAAGGAGCAAGGGGATCCCACGCCAGGGGTGGGGCAGTGCCGACATGGGACCTGGCACGCCGCGGGCGCTCTCTATCCGAGTTTATTACACAAGGAAGCAGCGGAAGCCAGGAAGGAGAGGAGGTGGGTTGCGGGTAGAGTTGGATACTGTCAGTCAGGGCTGGAGAGAGGAAGCATAGAGTGAAAAGGAGGGAGGGGCTGAGTCCCATCATGGTGGCATCAACTCCCATGGGAAAGAGGAGACGCTGGGTCGTGGGAGCTGAAAGGGGCCTCGAATGACGGGCTGCTTTGGAGACTGAACCCTGCTTTTCTTACAACCTTTCTCCCCTGAGATTCCCAATTTCCCTACAGTCATCTGGGGTGCACCCAGAGGGCCAGAGCTGGCAGAGGGCAGCTGCAGGTGGGAGAGAGGTGCCCGTGAGGGGGAGCAGGAACGGGAGATGGAGGAGAGCGGGCCAGCGACAACCCTCATTTTCCTGATAACTTCCTGCTTCAGATGGAGGCAGGAAGGATGGGGGCAGGAGAGGAAGTAGGAGGAAAGAGAGGATGGACATGGGGAGGAAGAGAAGGGTAAGCATTCATCATTCCACTAATACTGACTGAGTGCCAGCTGTATGCCAGGCTCCACCCGAGGCTCCAAGAGGGTGGTTGTGGTTGTGGAGCCTCGTGCAGCTCGTGGTCTGTGCCAGCAGGGAGGCGGATGTCAGACAGATAAAGAAATGCA